AATGGGGTTTATCGAAACCTCGTGGACCACAGGCTGCAGGGACCAAACCTCAGTCTTCATGGGTGTTGGCGCTGATTTCTTTTTGCGCAGTCTTGGTGTTGTTAGTGTCAATCGCTGCCGTGGTCTGCAGTTAAAATATTTCTTTAGGATATTTCAGTGCTGCTGCCCCATCGAAGTCCTGCTCACCAAAGGCTTACAGTTAAGACAACATCACAGTAGAAAAAAGAAATACGTAGCAATAGCTTGGCGTGTGTGTTTGTGTGTGGTGGGATTCGCGCCACCATGCCAGTCTTGTAGAGTTTCATTCAGCTGTTCCTGGGTTTAAAATGAATGTATTTCCTCGCTGCAGAATGCTGTCTTGTGTATCGCGTGACCCTGATTCTCAGCTGCAAAGGGCTAGTTTGGTGTTGTGGTTGGGAGCTCAGACTCTGATCTGGGAGAACCGGGTTTGATTCCCCACTCCTCCACATGCAGCTGCTGGTGTGACCCTAGGTCAGTCACAAGTTCTCAGGGAGCTGTTCTTTTGCGAGCAGTCCTCCAAAAGAGCTCTCTCAGCCCCGTCTACCTCACTGGGTATCTGTTGTGGGGAGGGGAAGGGAAGGAGATTGTAAGGTGCTCTGAGACTCCTTCGGGTAGTGAAGGGCGGGGTATGAATCCAATCACCTTCTCTTCTTCTTCTTTCTCACAGATTGCTGTCATTGCACACGTGACCGCCACCAATATGCCAAACCTCAGCCGGCACAGTGACGAGAAGTTCTTTGTGACCGCTGAAGGCAAGAAAGAACATGTGCCCAGTATCCACGACCCCCCAACGCTTGACCTTTCCGTAGTCGTGCCTTCGTACAACGAGGAGGAACGGTGTAAGGAGATCCTAGTTTGCTTTGCCTTCCTTAGTCTTGCAGCGTTTCGCGCTGCATAGTTCTTTCATCGATGCACTCTGACTGAAGTGACGTTTCTGGGATTCTTTTCCCCCCTTGCAGTACCTTCAATGATGGATGAAGCTTTACACTATCTAGAGAAGAGGCAGGTATGAAAGCTTCACGTTCCGTCGCAGTACCCAGTGGCGCGGACGTAAGGATCCTCAGAGCTTTGCTGACATCCTGATTCCCAGAAAGCTCAACGGCAAGCCAGGTATACCAGATTTGTTTCTGTTTTGTAGATGCAAGATCCTGTGTTCACATACGAAGTCATTGTGGTCGACGATGGCAGCAGAGATCAAACCACAAAGGTAGGCGATTCATTTGTGTTCTGCAGATCTGTAAGACAAGAAGGACAAAAACCTAGGCGATAAGTGGACAGAGGCTGAGATTTTCTATTCCAGGCCACTGGGCTGATCACATAGGGTGCGGTCAGACGGCGTGCTGGGAGTGGTTCAAATTGCTTCGGCCCTGATGCGATTTTTTTAACCTGGAGAATCGCGATCACACTCGCCTCCTTGCTCCGGATCGCTGCGCAGCCACATTGCTCCCCACCGTCCACAGGCAGGAACGTGCGTTGCTGTTGTTTTGCTCTCTCTCTCTCTCAGTTTGGGCATGCG